AAATAGGCAAGGTCATCCCTAACTGGTGGCACTGCTGATTCGTTGGTTTCGGTAGCACTGACAGTGATACAGTTGTATGGTTCGATATGATGAAAGCCAAAAAACTATAGACAGCCATCATCACTAGCAGCACTCTTGTTGGCCTTATCCAGGTCTCGGTTCAGGCGATCCAGTCGCGTACCCTGGCAACTTGGACTTAGGACTTCGGGTTTATAAGACTTAGAGGGTTTAGGGTGGGTTTCGGATTTAGTACGGCTTCGGGTCGTTAATATTCGGCAGCTTCTCAGGATGAGGGGCCGGAAGTGCCGCCCACTCACTTGCTGGACGTCCGCGGCAGAAGCACGGGCCCCTGCTTAATGCAGGAAGGTTCAGGCCACACAACGAACACATGCATACACCAGGTGTGGAGCATTGACAACATTTAAAGCTACGTAGTGGCGCTGGGCAGTGTGAACAGTATGTACGACAACGGCGATGAAAAAGGGCAAAATTACAAACTACGTGTGTCAACTCGGGAAATTGCCGGGACATGAGTGTCAAGGGAACCACCGCTATAAATCACCACAATAATCACCGCAACCACCAGCACCAGCAACAGCAAGCCAAGCAACATGGGCACTAGCCCAAACAAAGGCCCCCAAACAACGGCATTGGGGATGCTAGTTTGAAAGCAATGCGAGTGGTGGTGGTTGTGGTGGCAGCTTCTGCGGGTGCTGGCGCTGGTGCTGGGAGCACTAGGAGCAAAACAAGCGGTAGGAGCCTGAGGAGAAGAGAGGTGCGATTAGTAGGAATCGCAGAAGCTCGAACCAACAGCAGCACTACTAGCAAAAGTCGTCGTGAAGTGGCACTCTCAGTAATGGCAGTCGTAGTAGTAGTAGTAGTAGTAGTAGTAGTCGTCGTAGTAGTCGTAGTAGTCATAGTAGCAGTAGTAGTAGTAGTAGTAGTAGTAGTAGTAGTAGTAGTAGGTCGTAGCCGTAGTCGTCGTCGTAGTCGTCGTCGTAGTAGTAGAAGCAGAGGTAGAGGTAGAGGCAGAGG